AAAACAAAAATTTATAAAAATCATCAATTATCAATAAAAAAAAATATCAAAATAATTGCAATTTATTAATAATTTTAAACATTTTATTAATTTAACTTACCTTCACTCACGCCATGTACATGTAAGAAGAAATTATAAGAACGGACAATCTATTGTTAAAAAAGAAACAGCGTCATCTGTGTTATGCAAACTTAAGTTTCTCATACTAACTAGTAATATGAATTCTTTACTTAAAAATATATTTTGTAAAAACATATTTTATATTTTATTAACAAATATTTAAATTCTAATTTTAATTACTTTTTCATAAAATCAATTTATATTGATAATGATACAGAATATAATATTTTTTTAAAACTAATTGATTATTTAAAAATTTCGGTAAACGACAAATGAAAATATATGATAGTGTTATATAATTTTGGTGTGAATATGTTTATTTCTATGAATTAGTTCTATCAGAATCAACCAATTAGACTCATCTACTTAGTCCATAAATTGTTTTTGTACATATAATAAAAATAGAGATTTGAAATAGATTCATAACTTATATCTACAATAGAGCAATATATACAGTGGAATCGTATTTTAAGAAGTTTTGGTTCTAAGATTTTTCGCGTTTATTGTTGCAAATCCTATTATATATATGTATATATATTTATGCTAATATTTTATTTATTAAATATAATTGCACATTAGTTAATTAATTATTAAATTAGCAAATTTGCAGCATTATACAACTTATTATAAATAAATTATATATTTGAAATTTTCAAAAGGTGATCGATGGATATAAAATACGAGAAATAATTAATTATTTCAAGTTATAACTATATATAGCTTATGTGGTTAAAGTATTATATCTATTATATATTATAACTTTTTAAAAATACTTTATAAATTTATCATTTATTATTAAAAGTATATATGTATTTTATATGTCTTATAAAATATTTTTGTTTAAAGTTATGTTATATTAAAGTATATTTATTATGTTTAAATATTAAATAATATCAAAATCAAAATCAAAAAAAAATATTAATAAAATAAAAAAGAGCTAAATTTATTAAGCTTTTCCACCAATTATTAATAAGTTTTTATTAGTTATTAAATTAATACTAAATAATTTTGTACATATTATTACATATTAACACATTAATTAACAAACAATTAATAATTTTAAAAATAATCTATATAATAAATTAGTAAAAAAGATAATATAAAATTAGAAATTATGAAATATATATATTAATAAATTTCAATTATACAAATTTTATATTTTCAAATATTAAATTATACAATATTAATATTTTCAAATATTTTTTTTTCTTTATTTAATAAACAAAAAAAAATAAATATATAAAAATAAATATTGTTTATTGCACTTTATTTAAATACATAATATAAATATTAATTAGATATTTTCAAAATATTCAAAGTTCATTAATACAAATTATTTCTACATCATAAATTATATAAAAATAATGAGTTTGTTTCTAAATATATATTATTTTTATTGTTTCACATACATATTTAATTCAGAAAATAAAAATGATATTAATATTTGTATTAATCCTTCTTGTAATGAAGTATCATTAGATATAGAAAATACAATATCTTTAAATTTCTTAATATGTTTTGAATTAAGAAAATCAATTATTAATTTTGCTAATTTTCTTCTTTGTTCTGGAGTAGTTTCATTCCAAACAATATATGGAACAGATTTAAATTCATTTTGTGCAACCCAAGTTGCTATAAGACTGCTGAATATACCTCCTAAAAATAAATTATTTTTATGTTGCATAAATCTTATATTTAATTTGAATATACGAAAATGAAATTTAAGAATAATACAAATCAATCATAATCAATATAAAAAATAACCACCTGCTGATAATCCAATAGGTCCACCAAGTATACCACCAGCAATTGTTGATAAACCGACAATTGTTCCATATTTGACAGAAGATTGTACCGAAACTTTCAAATTTTTTACAACATCAAGTTTTAGAACTTCTTCTAATAAATTATTTGTTGAGAAATCCATTAATTCATTTGTATGAAACAGAAAATTAAGCAAATTTAAATATTTAATTCTGACATTACATTATTTATTACACTATTTCAAATGTTACATAATGAATAAACCCTATATATACTGTACATATATCTACGAAATGTGATAATAAAATATGTAAGAATATTAAATCAATTGGGGGAATTCTGACAAAATGAATTATTGGATATGAATATAAAACCAAACCAATGTGATCAACTTTTAGGGAAAACAAAACTGATAATATTGTTTCACCAAAAAATATAGGATTTTTGACAATCTTAAGTTAAAGTAATTTACATCCAAAAAATAATTTTGGAGTTAAATTTTTTTTTATTTTTCCAATAAAATCATGTATAATTGTTTTACTCAAGTAAATTGTAGTTTTACTCAAAACGATAAAAAAGATAGGAAATCTAATTTTGATACCATTTTAGAACAAAAATGGATAGAAGCCCAAAAAAATAAAATATTTCGTTATGTATTAAATATTAAAGAATCAAAGATATTAAAAGGCAAATATCATTTTTTAATCCAGGTAATATTTAAAATTATTTAATTATTAATTATTAAAAATATGATATTGATGATTTGATTTTCAAATATATTGATTGCTTCCATTCAAAAAATACTATCAAATATACAAAATTTCAAAAACTTATATTTATGAAAAATTTAAATTAACTTAATAATTTTTTTGGAATGAATATATTAATCATTTTTTTTAAATAATTAAATCATTAAAATTATGAAATTATTGTTCTCATATATTCATTTTATAAAGTTGAAATATTCTAAACAAAAGAATAAAATGAATACTTATTATAACATGAATTAGATGAAATAGATTCACTTATTATAACATGAATTTCAATTATTCAATTAAATTTCTATTATCAATAATCTAATTATTTGCATTATTTTATTTTTTAATAAAATAATTTTATAATAAAAAGAAAATTTATTATTTAATTTTTTTAATAATTTCAGCTTAATACTGATCGTGGTTATAAAAGAAGATCTCCAGAGGATATAATATCAATGAAACAAGCATTCAATAACAAACAATTTAATTTTATAAAAATTAAACCAGAAGAACAAATAATGAATTTAGGTAGTATAGATAAAGATGATGTAATTGCAATTAATGTTAGTCCAATTGAATATTGCCATTCTTTATTACTGCCACAAAGAAATAAACAATTACCTCAAATTATAACTAAATATAGCTTATTTAAAGCTATCGAATTATTTTCATTAAGTTCTTCATTGTAAGTATATTAGAAATTTTGAAGTGAGACAAAAAATATCAAATTTTTAATTAAAATTAAAATTTTAAATTAAATATCAAATTTATGAATAATAGGGATAAAATATATTATCTTAAAATTTATTCAAATTGATAAAAGAATTTTCAAATTATGTATCTTCTAATGATAATGTAGATTATAAAATATTATAAACAGTAGTGTGTTTCTAAACTTTCTCTAAATTTTGACTATATTTTTTGCTATTTTGATTTATTTTAATTTTTATTAAAGTTAATATATATTAATATTATATTGATAATTAAATAAATATTTAATTGTATATATATGTATATTATTTTTTTAGATATCTCAGAGTGGCTTTTAATAGTCTTTGTGCATATGCATCTGTAAACCATCTTCATTGGCATCTTTATTATTTGAAATGGAGAATGTTATTGGAATACATTGTAAATAGATTTATATATTTTTTTTTTCTATATTTCACTAATGCTTAAAAAACAGAATATATAAATTTATCCATTGTTCAGTTTAGTTTTGTGATCTTAAATATTTCTTTTTCAAATTTTTCACTTTTTTTTTCTACTATTATATTAATTTTATAAAGAGTATCAGTTTTTTACTTATGGTTTTTGTATTTATTTATTTAAAAACTTCAAAGAATATGATATAATATATATTTTTTACATGTTCAATAAATATAATTATACAGTATTTTAGTTATAATTAAACACTCTATCAACATTTTTAATATATATTATATTATTTTAAGTATAATTTCTTTAACATATTAAAATCAATTTTAAACATCAATTTTAATATTGTTATTAATATTTTTCAGGATCTCAAAGAATATATAGGACCTATACAAATATTAGAAAAATATCCAGCAAAGGCATTTTGTGTAAAATATTCTAATGTTCAGAATATAGATGATTTTGTTAATTGGGCATTTTTAATAATAAATTATTTACAAAATGCACAAATAGCACATAATGTTTATATTACAAGAGCAAAATTAAACTGTACAGAAGAATATAAAGATTTACGGATTTATATTTGGAGTAGGAAATCAAATGAAGGTACAAAAAATATTAATGCCTTTAATCCAGCAGCTTGTGAACTCTTTGGACATTTATTATTAAAATGTAAGTAATATTTTAAAATCAAAATTATTTATTTTACAAAAAAACATTATCAATATATAAGATATGTACAGATTCTAATTTAAAAATGCAGAATTTATCTATACTAGCATATAACAAAACATTTCTTTCCTAGCATTTTATTTAAATTGTATTTGAATAATTTAATATTTTATTTAATTATAATTAAATATCTTTTTTTTATATCTGTTTCAGCTGAAGAAACATATAAGAATATTTCTGAGGAATATGTGATAAATATTTTACAAAATATTACTGAAGAAACATTCTATTCAGTTTTTTCTGAAATAAAAAATTTAATAAAATGTCAAATAAAATAAATTTTTAATTATATTGAATGAATTGAAAATTCAATTACTGTCTCATTTCTTCAATTTGTTTATTTTATTAGAAAATTTATTTTTTATATCATCATTTTTCTTTAAATTTTAATAATATTTATATTATTTAAAAGTTGATTTAATTTTCTATATCTTATATTATTACTTTTTTATATATAAACAAAATCACATATATACACACGTATAAATAAAATAGAATGCTTAAACTACAGATATTACATTATCTATAGTTTGTATATTAGGGAAACTACCGCGATGTGTTACTTTGATATTTTCAGGGTACTCTTTATATAAGATAAATTCCAAAAATCCGATATTACGCGTTTCCTTTCTTGGATCTCGGGAGTTCTTAAAAGATTTTTCCCACATACAAAAAAAAATACTGCAATGGTATGTGTAATTTTTTTTGTAATACATATGTTCTAATTCTAACCTTAATATTTTATATAAATAATAAATTTAGCAAGTTTTTTTATTTTTTAAAATAAATTTTTTAATAAATTATAATAAATTACGTAATAATTATATATAAAAAAATATATAAATTATATATTAAATATTTAATTATTTTCAATAACTCTCTTCTATTCAGATACTTTATAACACATTCATTCATAAATTTTAAAAAAATTTGCATATATATACTTCTACAATTAAATAGCAAAGAATGCAAAGATACAAGCAATTAGATTGAATTAGATAATATAAGTTATATGAAACATTGCTAATTGATATAATTTATATAAAATGATGCTACAAATATGTTTATAACTTTTTATATCCTATATTTGACATTACAATATTCAATTCATATTTTTTTGCATAAGATTTATGATAATTTTATCTATATCTTTTAAAATATTTATAACTAAATTTATAAAAATTGATAAAAAATTAATTGTTAATTATGTTTTTATTCTAATATATGTAATACAAAATATGACAATTGACAAATTCAAATTTGAAATTTGAATTTAAAATTGACTCAAATTTAAAATCTAATATTTTCTCTTAAATATGATTTTATTTTAAATTTTGTATTGTACGTAAAACTATATTATAAATTAAATTTTGTGTGTATGTGTGTACGTGCGTGCATGTGTGTATATATATATGTAATAAAATATTATTTTAAATACATTAATCTAGTCTTAATTTAGATAAATTTTAATACATAATTGCCTGTGATATATTTATACTAATCCAAAAAAATAAATAATTTAATAAATTAATTCTTTTAATTTGAATTGTTGCAGTTACATCATAAAAATGTATACAATATATTATATTTATATTTGTATTTGTCTGATAATCATTGGGAGAATATATTTTGTAATATTTCATACATATAAAATAAAAGGGAGAAAGAGATCAATTCGAAATAATCCAGCTAAAATAATGATAATATTAGGGTCTGGTGGACATACTGCAGAAATGATAAGAATTCTTAAGTATTTAAACTTCAAAAATTACTCACCAAGAATATATGTACATGCTGATACAGATTTAATGAGCATTGAGAAAGTTAAATACTTAGAAGAAGATAACAAAGATTATAAAATTATTAAAATTCGTAGAAGCAGAGAAATTCATCAATCATATTATACATCTATTTATACTACTATTTATGCAATTCTTGAGTCAATTCCTCATTTATGGAGAGAATGTCCAGAATTACTTTTATGTAATGGTCCAGGCACTTGTGTTCCCTTGTGTATAATAGCATTTTTATTTAAAGTTTTGTATATTACACAAACTACTATAATATTTATTGAAAGCATCTGTAGAGTTAAAACACTATCATTAACAGGAAAAATTTTGTATTATATAGCTGATTATCAAATAATACAATGGCCATATTTAAATAAATCAAATAATCAAAATAATAAAATATTATCCATTTAAATAAAATTAATTCATATTTTTTATTAACAAAAAAAAAATGTTTTTTTTATAAATATACTTATTTATAAAAAATTATTTATAAAAAATATTTATAAATGACACTTTTTAATGCCATTTATAAAAAAAAATTGTATAATTTTACAAATATATATTGTTTAATTTATAGTATTGAAACTAATTATATTTGATATATTAAGATTATTAAAGTAAAATCTAAAAAAAATTTAAAAATTGATACACAAAATAATTATAGAAATTTGATAAAT